TTTCGGCTTGCTCGCCCCTTTGCCGCTCGGCCCCCCTAGGCTTGCGCCTGCCGCCAGCCACGTCCGCCAGTGTTGCGGCTGCTTGAACCTGAGCTCGTGCTGCGCGAGCCTGGCCACAGCTTTTAAAAAGGGTGGGAAAAAAGCCCCGGTGGCCGCGCCCGCATGCCTTCCCCCCAGCTTTCGGCACGCCCCTCGCGCGTTTCGTGGCCCCATAGGGAGCTCTACCGAGGGCTCCAGTGCCAGCGCCCGCATTCCTCCCCACCACCGATTTCGGCACACCCCTCGTGCGCTTCGTGGCCCCATAGGGAGCCCCACCGAAGGCCCCAGTGCCACCGCCCGCATGCTTCCCCACCACCCATGTCGGCACACCCCTCACACGGTCCGTGGCCCCATAGCGAGCTCCACCGAAGGCTCCAGTGGCTGCGCCCGCGTGCCCCCCACCATTCATGTCGGTACACCCCTCGCACGCTTCGTGGCCCCATCGGGAGCTCCACCGAAGGCTCCAATGCCACCGCCCGCATGCGTCACCAACACTACTTTCGGCACGCCTCTCACACGCTTCGTGGCTCCATAGGGAGTTCCACCGAAGGCCCCGGTGCCACGGGCCGCATGCGTCACCCACACTAATTTCGGTACGCCCCTTACGCGTTATGCGGCCTCATAGGGACCTCCACCGAAGGCCCCAGTGGCTGCGCCCGCATCCGTCACCCACACCCATTTCGGCACACCCCTCACACGTTTCGTTGTTCCATAGCGAGCTCCACCGACGGCCCCAGTGCCACCGCCCGCATGCGTCACCCACTCCCTTTTCGGCACGCCCCTCGCTTCGTGGCCCCATAGCGAGCTTCACCGAACGCCCCTCCGTGGCCCCATAGGGAGCTCCACCGAAGGCTCCAGTGGCTGCGCCCGCATGCGTCACCCACACCGATTTCGGCACAACCCTTACACGTCTCGTGGCCCCATGGGGAGCTCCACCGAAGGTCCCAGTGCCACCGTCCGCATGCGTCACCCACACCAATTTCGGCACACCCCTTACGCGTTCTGTGGCCTCCTAGGGAGCTCCACCGAAGGCGCCAGTGGCTGCGTGCGCATGCGCCCACCGCACTCATTTCGGCACACCCCGCACACGTTTCGCGACCCCAACGCCCCTCACGCGTTTCGTGGCCCCACAGGGGATTCCTCCGACGGCCCCAGTGGTTGCCGCACCTATTTCGGCACACCCCTCATACGCTTCGTGGTCCCATGGGGAGGCCCTCCGACTGCGGTGCATACAACTACGGTATTCACTACAGCATATGGTCGGGTCCTTCGCCTGGCTAATTCTAGACCCAGGTGTTTTTCTATGATTTCGCCCTCGGGGGCCCGTTACTGGGGCCGGGGCGCCCCCGGCACCATCCACAATGGATCCGGGGCGAAACGTTGATCCTGGGGAAGGGGTCGGGACCTCTGGGGCGCGCATGAAAAGAACTCATATCGGTGGGTGTCGGGGACTGCGCGCCATCACTATGCACCTCAGATGAATGCGAGTTGAGACAGCGCTAGCTGGCCTTCGGGTGGCCCCCTCGTCGCCACGGCTGGACGCAACTCGGAAAACTGGTGCGTTTGGTTCCAAGGAGGGATCTGGTGACCGACTTAGCTGCTGTTGTCTCAACTCACCCTGCTCCGATATTCGGCGGCGAGCCCGGAGGGGAAGTGAGAAGGGCCGGGCCTTCTGAGAAGTCTTGAAGCCACACCTGGGCTTCCGAGAAGTCATACAAGCCTTCCCGAAGACACGGAGGATTCCTCAGAAGGCCAGCATGCTTCCGAGAAGTCCCGCTGCCTTCTGATAAGGCCTTTTCCTCTTCACTTTCCCCCCCGCTCGCCGCCGACATCGGGAACGTCAAACAGCTGCTAAACCTGAGTGACCCGCGGATATGGTGAGGAGTTTAAGTCAAACGCTATTCCCAAACAAGGCCACTTCAGGTTGGGGGTGGGCCGTTGGTCGAGACTGGTCTCTTGGAGATCCCGATTATGATTCTCATCCAAGCGCAACCTTCACAGGCGTTTGGTGGCTCTCCGTGATACAGGAAGTCCATTCGTCCCTGGGCCCGAGTCCGAGCAGGGCGCGACCCTTACAGCTGGCCAGATCTTCGTGTTGCTATAGTCCCAATCTTGGGCTTGATCTTGACGGTGCAGATGCAACCCTTGTAGGTGGCCGATTCCTCGTGCTGCCAGTGCTAAACTCGTGGTCCTGATTCGGATCGTTTGGAGCCGACCCTCCTACGTTCAGTGCTCTCCGTGTTGCCAGAACTCTGCTCCCGAGCTTGTCTTGGAACGCCTGGAACCGAGACCTCCAGGGTGAAGGTGCTGTTCATGTTGCCCTGACTCCTGCTGGACCTGAGTTTGAGTGTCGGGAGCCAGCAATCCAGCGCCCCCTTCCTCGTCTTCGTCGTCGTCGTCGTCCTCGTCTTCGTCCCAGACGTCGTCGTCGTCATTGTCCTAGTCGTCGTCGTCGTCGTCGTCGTCGTCCTAGTCGTCGTCGTCGTCGTCGTCGTCGTCGTCGTCGTCGTCATTGTCTTAGTCGTCGTCGTCGTCGTCGTCGTCGTCGTCGTCGCCGCCGTCGTCGTCGTCGTCGTCGTCGTCGTCGTCGTCGTCGTCGTCGTCGTTCGCGCCGCGCTGGCGGCGCTGCGGAAGCCCCCGCGCTCGGGCGCCCCGCACCCGCTCGCAGCAGGGCCCCCGCTTCTCGTCGCCCACGCGGTGCCCTCCAGGGGGCGACTGCGCGTCATGGCCACGAGGAGGACGGCGATCCTCGACGACGACTCGGAGGCGGGGAAGGAGGAGGAGGAGGAGGAGGAGGAGGACGACGACCCTCGACGACGACGACGATCCTCGACGACGACGCCGACGACGCGGGCGCGGACAACGACGTCGGTCCTCGACGACGACGACACAGAACACCAGCTGGGGGCCCCTAAACGGGGCGGTGACCACACCGTGCGGTGAGTCGGTGGGGATTCGGGGTCACCGCACGGCTTTGGGGCTCGGGTCGTTCTCCGGGGACGTCTCGGGCGACGGGCCTCCGGGGTCCCAAAACCGTGCAGTAACGGACCGTGCGGTGAGGTCTCTTGGGGTTCCAAGGTCACCGCACGGTCTGTCACCGCACAGTTTCGGGACTCCAAAATGAGGACGACGACGATCCTCGACGACGACTCGGAGGCGGGGAAGGAGGATGAGGAGGAGGAGGAGGAGGAGGAGGAGGACGACGACCCTCGACGACGACGAACCTCGACGACGACGACGATCCTCGACGACGACGCCGACGACGCGGGCGCGGACAACGACGTCGGTCCTCGACGACGACGACGACACATAACACCACGAGGACGAACTTCGACGACGACGACGAGGACGATGAGGACGAGGATGCCGACTAGGACGAGGACAAGGACGATCCATGACGACGACCACGAGTACGACGGCGAGGACGAGGACGGGGACGACGACGATGACGACGATGACGACGACGGCGAGGACGCGGACGGGGACGCGGAGGAAGACGAGGAGGAGGAGGAGGAGAAGAAAGACGACGACGACGACGACGACGACGACGACGACGACGACGACTAGGAGACGACGACGACATCTAGGACGACGCCGAGGAGAAGGAGGACGACTAGGACGACGAGGGTGACGACGACGACGATGACGAAGACGAAGACAACGACGACGATCGTCGAAGACGACGACTTGGATGAGGACGAGGACGACGATCAGGACGGCAACGAGGGCGCGGACGACGGCGACGACGACGAGTGCCAGGACGACCACAACGTCGAGTACGACGATGATAACAGCGACGAGGACGAGGACATGGACTATGACGATCCTCGACGTCGATGGCGTCGGACGGCGAGGACGATGATGATGACGACGACTAGGACGAGGACGAGGACGAGGACGAGGACGACGACGATCCTCGACGACGACGACGACGGGTGCGAGGACGAGCACGGCCGTGACCACGACGACGTCGAGGAGTACGGTAATGACGACGACGACGACGACGAGGGCGAGGACGAAGGACGAGGACGGGGACGAGGACGACGAAAACGATGACGACGGCGACCACGACGACGACTAGGGCGAGGACGGGGACGACGATGATGACGACGATACCAGACTACGATGACGACGACGAGGATACTCGACAACGGCGACGAATGCGAGTGCGACGACGACGACGACCCTCGACCACGACGAGGACGAGGACGATCCTCGACGAAGACTGTAACGAGGACTAGGACGAGGACCAGGACGACGACCAGGGCGAGGACGACGACGAGGACGAGGAGGAGGGGGAGGAGGAGGAGGACGAAGACGGCGATGAACCCGAGTGCGACGACGAGGACGATCTTCGACCAGGACGAGGACAAGGCCGATCCCTGACGACGACGACGGTAACGACGACGAGGGCGGTGCTCGTGTCGACGACGACTGCGACGACTTGGACGAGGACGACGACAACGAGGTGGAGGGGGAGGACGGCGACAACCCTCGGCGACGACGACGACGGCGACGACGAAGGCAAGGACTACTGCGGCGATGATCCTCGACGACGACGACGCCGACGCCGACGCCGACGCCGATCACAACGACGAGGACGACGGCGAGGATAATCACAATCACGACTGGACGTCGATGACGGTTCTCGACGACGACGAGGATGAGGAGAACGATCAGGACGAGGAACATGACGACTAGAACAAGGACGAGGACGAGAAGGGGGAGGAAGACGATGTGGAGGAGGAGGAGGAGGACGACGACGACAACGACGAGGACGAGGACGACGACTAGGATGAGGACTACGACAACGTCCTCGTCGTCGTTGTCCTCGTCGTCGTCGTCGTCGTCCTCGTCCCCGTCCCCATCCTGGTCCTCGTCGTCCTCGTCCTCCTGCCCTTGTCCGTTTTCCCCCTCGCCCTCGCCCCCGCCCTCGCCGCCGACGACGACGACGAGCCCAGGCGACTTCGGCGCCTCCGCCCGCGGCTCCCCGAAGGGCGGCGCGCCCCTCAGCGCCAGCAGCTCGGCGCGCAGCCTGCGCGGCGCGCCGCCCCCGCGCGCCCCTGCCGACGGCCCGCCGCCGCCCGCCGGCGGGCCCGGCCTCGCCCCGCTGGAGACCGCCGCCCCCCCGCGGCGGGCGGCGGCGTGGCCCTCGGCGGCCCGTCGGCTGCTCTCGGGGGCGGCCAGGAGAGTAGGGGGCCAGGAGAGTGGGGGCGGCCAGGAGAGCAGGGGGCCCCCGACGATTTCTGAGGGGGAGGGTGGGGTTCGCTTCGCTCCCCACCCGCACCCTCAGAAATCGTGGGGGGCAGGGGTAGGGTTCGCGTGTGGCCCCCTAAAGAGGGGGGTGGTGACCGGGGGGGGTGGATCTCCTGGCGGAGGCCCGTGACGTCTCCCCAGATCTCAGGGCGCCGCTTCCTACTCCAATACTTCCCTGGCGCCCCCCCCCCTTGGGCCGCGCACGTGCCGCCGGCCATGGTGTGCGTCCCCCCCCTCCTGGGCCCCCCCCTCTTGGCCGCCCGCGATGCTCGCGGCCGCCCTCGGCGGCCCTCGGCGGCGGGCCCCAAACCTTGGCCCTCGGCGGCCCGTTCGCTCGGGGGCCCAGGAGGCCAAAAGCCAGCGAGCCCACCAGCCTGGGACGGGGCAGACGCTTCCCGGGCAGCGAGGAGCTCCTTTTTTGTCACGATTGCTCGAGTCGAGCTTTCAGCGGTGCAGTTGATCATATCATCATCACCATCTCCTTCTCCTCATCATCACCATCACCATCATCATCATCAGCATCATCATCAGCATCAGCATCATCATCAGCATCATCCTTACCATCATCATCATCATCATCATCATCATCATCATCATCATCATCATCATCATCATCATCATCATCATCATCATCATCATCATATGCATCATCATCGTCATCATCATATCATCTGCATCTCCAACACCATCACCATCAGTATCATTATCATCATGATTAGCATCATCATCACGATCATCATCATCAGCATAGTCATCATCATCATAAGCATCATCATCATTACCATCATCATGATCATCATCAGCGTGGTCATCATCATCATCATCAACACCCTTCTCACCACCACCTTCACCTTCACCTTCACCATCACGATCACTCTCCTCGACCTCATCACCATCACCATCACCATCACCATCACCATCACCATCACCATCACCATCACCATCACCATTACCATCATCAGCATCAGCATCATCATCATCATCATCATCATCATCATCATCATCATCATCGTCATCGTCATCGTCATCAACATCATCATCAGCATCATCATCATCATCAGGGGGGGGTAGAACTGCTTCGCCGGGTGTCGCTCCGCCCGCTGGCCGCCCGCTGCCCGCTGCCGCCCGCGGGCCGCGGCACATCGGGGGCGATTCCCTCCTCCGCTTCGCTCTCTCCCTGCGAGGCGGGAATTTTACATGACCGCCGCCTGGAGGGTCAGTTTTCGGAGCCCCGGCAGGCGGTGGATGTGGACATATTCGGGCCCCTGGGGGCTGATATATATATATATATATATATGTATGTATATATACATATATGTATATATATGTATATATGTATATATGTATATATATACATATATATATATATATGTGTACATGCATATATATATATATATATATATATATATATATCCACCGCCCGCTGGGGCACCAGGACGCTGGTTCTCAGGCGGTGGATATGAATAGATCCCCGCCGCGCATCGTGTCCGCGGCGCGCCCGTCGGCTCCACCACGCATCCTTTGGGTGGTGGCGAAGCGGTCCGCCGACGGAGTGGCCTGCGGGCGGGACGGGCCGCTGGCGGAGCGGTCCGCCGGCGGGGCCGGCCGCCGGCAAAGCGGGCCTCTGGCGAAGTGGTTCTCGGGGGCAGAGGAGGAGGAGGAGGAGGGAGGGAGGGAGGGGGAGGGGGGAGGGAAGGGGGGGGGAGGGAGGGGGGAGGGAGGGTGGGAGGAGGGAGGAGAGGGAGGGAGGGAGGAGGAGGACGAGAAGAAAGAGAGACGCCGATGCGAGGAAGCATGCTGCCAAATAATTCCCAGCTGTCTACAACATCTTTCAAAGATGTATCAGCAGTGCTACAACCTTGCCTGCAACACTTTCAGAACATGTTCTACACAGTTTAAGCACGGCTTTAGCTCACCGGTTTGATGTCACAGTTTGACAGTTTAAGAACACTTTCAGAACATGTTTTACACCAACATGTGGTTTTTGCCTTATCGCCGCGCACATCCGTTAAACATTTGCAAGAATTCACGAGTCGGGAGCGGGTGGGCTTAAAACCGTTTCAAATGTGTCAAAACCATGCCTGCAACACTTTCAGAACATGTTCTCCACAGTTGAAGCACAGCTTTAGCTCAATGCTAGGGTTGTTGGAGTGTCCACTGTTCTGGGCGACCCACAGGGGGGTCCAGCTGCAAGGGGGTGGTGCAATAGATTCAGGGCAATTGTATTGCAAACGCATTGCGCCTGAGAGTTGTATTGCATTGTACTGCAACTCATGTATTGCACGCGAAGAACCGGCCATACATTTGCGCCCCGGAGTGTACTGCACGCCCCAAATGTATTGCAGCCCCACAAATCTATTGCACCAAACCTATTGCACCACCCCCTCGTCGCTGGACCCCCTTTTGGGTCAGCCCGAAGGCTGTCATGGCATCCACAAAACGCCGTGGCCTCTGCGCACCTCCATCCTCGGCCTGGGCCGGCCGGGCCCCCCGCCGGCGTCTCGCAGGCCCCATTTCGGGGCCTGCGGGGCTCAGGCAGTGGCTCAGCGCAGTAGGAGGGAAAACACACACACAGACACAATTAATCGACGATTCCCCAGAAAATATGGAAACTATAGGAAATGGAGGGGAAGACAAAAACCTACAAATTTGGGAAACCATGGGGAATCCGGTTATTTGTGTGTGTGTGTGTATTTGTTTGTGTGTCCCAGGGCCCCTTCACTAGAGGCCTGCCGAACAATGCTCTGAGAGCCTCGTGTGGTTTCCACGGGATGCTCTCAGAACATTTCTGGCTGAGACTGTTTTGTTTTGAGGCGTCGGGCTGATGTTCTGAGAACATTGGTTTTTGTTATTGGAACATCTTTGGGTTCTGAGAGCATGTCGTGGTAGGCCCATAGGAATGCCGGGACGGTCGGTCCCTGCTCCAGCTGAGCTGAGGCGAAGCCAGGGCGAGGAGAACATCGGCCGAGGACGAATCTCGGAGGGGGCTTCTTCTTCGACGATCGGTCGATCGATCTTCCATCCCCAGGCATCGGGCTGCTCAGATTTTGCTGATGCGTGGGTCCCAGAGCTCTGGACCACTTCCCCAGGGCTGGTTTTTCCTCCCGAGTCGCTTCTGGACGCTTCGGATGCCGGGCGAGGGCCCCCAGAGGCCGACGGCAGGCCAGAACCGCCCGCTCCAATTTTTTCGGAGCGCCCATATGTGGCCGGTTTTTTCGTCCTGAGTCGTTGCTTGACGCTCCCGAGGCCTGGCGAGGGCCCCCCGAGGCAAAAACAGCCCCAAACCGCCCGCTCCAATTATTTTGGAGCACTGGAACTCTGGGTCGATCTCTAGGCCTCCTAGATGGGTTCCGAGTAGATGGGGTCGGAGCATCGCGCCGCATCGCCGATGCATCGATGCCACGTCGACGTCGCCGGTAAATCGCCGACGCGTCGCCGACGCATCGCCGATACATCGGCGATGCATTGGCGATACGGCGCGATCTTTCGACGAGACCCCATCTACTCGTAAGTCGGGCACGTCCCTCCACAGGAGGAATATGCAAGAATAGTCAAGGAAAGGTATGGGGAGGATTTCTCGATTTTTTGACTATCTTTGAGCATTTTTGGGGGGTACTTCTGTGTTCTTTGCTCAGAATCCGCCCGCAGGAGGATTTGCCCGACCTAAAACCCTCCCGGAGCCCTTCCCAGAGGGTTTTCGGACAATTTGGGGAGGGTTTAGACGGTTTCGAAAGGAAGCCAATCCCTAGCTCAGAGCTGGACCTAAACGGTGTTTTTGGTGCTTTCGTTGGCCGTTTTCGTTTCGATATCGTCTTGCGGGAGAGGCGGATTCGAGACAACAGCGAGGGAAAACGAGAACGAAACGAAAACGAAAAACACTGTTTAGGTTCAGCCCTGCCCTGCATCCTCCCCCGTCGGCCCATCCTTGGCCGCGTTCCTTTGGCTGCGCCCCGCTCGCAGAGTGTCGACGTGGCCTTCCAAGGCCCCGGAGGAGGAGGAGGAGGAGGAGGAGGAGGAGGAGCTGCACCCTCATCGTGCGCCCTGCCCGCGACCTCCGGGTCGATGGGGCTCGGGCCCTGGCTGACCCTGGCCTTTCTGACGTTTGTGTGGTGCCCTCTCCTTCCACCCCGGGGAGGCCTCTGCGCTCGGCGGCCGGCGTCGGCCGCCGGCCGGCGGCGCGCTCGGCCTCGCCAGGTGCCGCCGCGGAGCCCCGCCGCGCGCGCCGTGGGCCAGCCCGCCGGCGAAGAGGCTGCGGGGGGTCGAGCAGCGGCGGGGCGTCCCGGCGTGCCTATTAGTCCTATACGACGCAAGGTTCTGAGAACCTCTCGCGGTTTGCACGGGATGTGCTCAGAGCATTTCTGGTCGAGCCTGCCCTGTTCTAACACCTCGGGCGACTGTTCTAAGAGCAGTGTTTTTGTTCTTAGGAACATGTTTGGGTTCTTAGCTAAGAACACTTCGAGGTAGGACTACAGGGATGCCGGGACGGTCGGTCCCTGCATGCTCAAGGGGGCGCGGCCCTCCGCGCCGGAGGAGGTCCTTCGGGTTAAGTCGGGCGTGCCCTTCTACAGGAGTACTATCCGAGGCGGGAATTTATCCATATCCACCGCCTGGAGGGTCAGTTTTCGGAGCCTCGGCAGTTGGTGGATACGGACATATTCGGGCCCCCGGGGGCCGAACTATCTCCATATCCACCGCCCGCTGGGGCACCAGGACGTCGGTTCCCAGGCGGTGGATATGGATAAATCCCCGCCTCGCAGAATATTCAAAAATAGTAAAAGAACCCATGTGGACGATTTCTCGACTATTTTTCGAGTAGTTGTTTGAGATGTTCTATGTTTCGTCCAAAATCCGCCTCGAGGGGGATATCCCCGACCTAACCTTCGGGGGTCGACGGCACCCAGGGTAAAACAGGGCTCATTTCGATTCCTCCGATTCGACTCGATTCGATCTCGATGGGTTCCGATCTTCCGATTTGATGCGACATCGGAATCCGATTCGGGATCCGATTTCTCAATGGAGGCCTACTAGCCTGCCAATGTCTACCGATTCGACTTTTCCCGACTCGGCTGCCGATTTCCGCCGATCCGATTCATTTCGATCGCCGATTTGACTTATCAATTTGATTCTGGGCTCTCCTGGGGTTACGTCGGGCGTGTCCCTCTAGAGGAGTATGTATGCAAGGAGAGTTACAACAAGTAGTCTGGGGACACTTTCTCGTGCTCTTTTCACTTGTTGTTGGATTGTTTGTCGTGACCATGTTTTATTGTTCTTCCAAGATGCGCGTGTAGGAGGACATGCCCGACCTAAACCCAGGAGAAACGGTTCGAGTCTCGGCGGCGTCGAGCAAGGGGAAGTTTAGGTCGGGCATGCCCCCCTACAGGTGGATTTTGGAGGAGAACAAAAAAATAGTCAAACAAATTCAAACAGATCGAAACATATTCAAAAACCGTCCCCTGACAATTTTCTGACTATTTTTGAATTTTCCTCCTATAGAGGGACACGCCCGACTTAGGGGAAGTTTCGTGCTCGAGATTCCTGGTCTTCGGACGTTTCCGTCGGCCGGTCCTCGGCGTTTCGGGCTCGAGGCTCGAGGTCTTCGAGCGTTCTCGTCGGTTCTCGGCGGTTCTCCAGCCTCGGGGTGCGCTCCAGCGGCTGCGCCTCGCCGAGGGCGTTCGGGGGGTGCCCAGATCGTCCCGAACGGCCATCGGTCGGGTGTGGCAAAGAGGGGGGTGATGACTAGGCGGGGGGATATCATGGCGTGGGCCATGATCTTTCCCCAGATTTCATGGCGCCTCTTCTTGTTTCATGACAGACCTGGCCCCCCCCAAGGGGCCGCGCACGTGCCGCGGGCCATGACTTGCACCCCCCCTCTTGGATGCCCCCCTCTTGGCCGCCCCCGAATCGGAGAGCTGAGTCACAACCCCAAAACCATCAGGCGTCCGAGAAGAAGAAGAAGAAGAAGGCCTTCTCAGAAGGCGGCGTGGCTTCTCAGAAGCCCTCCGGCCTTCTGAGAAGCTTTCTGCGTCTCCGGGGAAGGTCGGGAAGCTTTTCCGGAGGCGGGGGACCTTCGAGCCTTCTGAGAAGGCCCGCCCCCTTCTCACTTCTTCCCGGGCGCGGCGCTCAGAGTAGAGGTTCGGCTACAGGATCGATGTATGCCAGAATTTCAGTGGTTGTCGGTTCGTGGAAGCTGTGGCAGATATGCAGGATGCCCTCCGTAGATCTGCGGACCTTTCTATGCTCTGTTCTGTAGACTCGACGAGACATTCAAGTTTGGGGTACATCAGCTCTGTAGTCGAACTCCTATTCGAACAACAGGAGGGGATAGGCTCAGGGGGGAACGCATCGGCCCCCAATCGCCCATTGATCGCCGACAGGGGTCTGACGAAGCCCCACCCCGTTCAGAACGGTGGGGAGTTGCTATCGGTGGCCTATCGCCGATCTGTTGGCGACGCATCGCCGCCTTCCGGGTCGATACTTCCCCTCCTGCAGTCGGGGCGGTGAAGAAGGAACCCTTTCCGTCAGGGAGGGGCTCAGTATTTCTCTCGACTGTTTCCTAGTTTGTCCGAGGTTCTCCCTACAAGCCTCGACAAACATATCCAGACATGGAAGTTGAAATCCTGGAGCACGATGCTTTCGGGCACTGGTCACAAAGCGCGTTCTTCAATGCTGACGGGGTGGGGTCGGTTTCTGGACAACACCGCGTCCGAGTCAACGTGCATCCGTCAGCAACGGAGCAGCGCTGACCCCACACTCGCCGAATCGAGAAGTCTGCTGCTTATGTTTGACGAGGCTTGTGTAGGCATTCGATGGGGAACCGAAGTTCAACTCGTGGAAAGCATTGGACTGGCTCCCGATTCATCGTTCCTGGGATCGAGGCCCCGACTGCGATTCAGGAATTGGCCGTTTTCGGTTCGCGAGAGGGCGCCGCGGCCGTCATTTTTGCAGGTCCAGGTCCGTCGGGTTCGGTCCCAGGCCGTTCTCACTGAGGGGACGTCTATACGAACGGGAGGCCCGTCCACCGCCGATCTACGCCGCCGCGGGCCCCGCGGCCGGCGGCGCGCCCCGACGCAGGCGTCGCCGCGCAGCCTCCGCGCCTCCGCCGCGGGCCTGCTCGTCGACGCAGAGCGCGCGGGGAGGCTGGCCCCCGCGCTGGAGGAGGCCCTCCCCGGGGGGGGAGGCGGCGGCGGGGGCCTCCAAAACGGGGCTATAGGATCGGGATAAATCGCTCCAGAGCGTTCCGGAGCGCTCTCAGAGCGTTCCGGAACGCTCTGGAGCGGCCGCGGCGCCCAATACATCCTCCAAACCCGCCGATTCTCAGAGATTTCGAGTTATCCCGATCCGATTTTGTCCCGATCTTCGCGTCGTTTTAGCCTCCTCGAAGCAGGGTCTCGGAGCACCGGGGGAGGCAGCGGCGGGGGTCTCGTCGAGGCACGGGCTCGGAGCAGGAACAGGTACCCATACCGCTGCCCTTGGCCCGTGTTCGTCTCTGCGCCACCGCTGGGTTCGCCTCGAAGTCCTAGTTCTCTGCGCCATCGCTGGGTTCTCTGCGCCCCCGCGCTGGAGGAGGCCCTCCGGGGGGGAGGCAGCGGCGGGAGTGTCATCGAAGCAGGGGCTCGGAGCAGGAACAGGTACAGTCGGGGCTCTGAAGAAGGAATTCTTTTCGTTTGGGAGGGGCTCAGTGCTCCTTAGTTGTTTTTCAGCTCGCCTTAGGTTTTCCTTGGTCTTCCATCGGAATTCGAAGCTTAACTTATGGAACAAAAAGGGGCCTCGCTCCTTATTTAGGGTTCCTCAGCTCAACGCCCCGACTGTACCCATTCCGCTACCCTCCGCCCGTTTTCTTCTCTGCGCCACCGCTGGGTTCGCCGCGGTATCCCAGTCGCATGCGCCCAGGGAGAGGTCCGAGGAGCAGCGGCATCGGTGCCTTTTCATTCCCCCAGAGACCAAAAACGACTGCACGGGCCTGCATGTCTGGAGCTCCACCCGGAGTTTTGGGATGGGCGCTGGGGCCCCCTGGGCGGCGCCTCAGGCGCCGCCCAGGGCGCTCTCCGCGCGCCAGGGGGGGGGACCAGCGCCGCTCCAAAAAAAGTCCGCGCGGAGCTTCGAACGTTGATGTCTGTGCCGCCGTTTGCCCTTCGCCCCCAAAGTGGCGGCGCATGCGCCAAGGAATCTTGTAGTAGATGCTCCGTGGCGGGCGCTTCGGCCATGCCGCTCGGACGCGTGCCTCCGAGGAGAACCCATAGTGCTAGTAACATGTCCTTCTGCGTCCCATAAGATGAGCTGGAGCAGTGTGTCTGGCGCAGATGGGTCGGTGGTGAGAGGTGCAATGATTCATTCACTGTGCAGTTGCGTGCTGCAGTGTGCTTTGATTGTGGGTAATGGGAGGCACGGACTGTTGCACGGGCACCAAGTACTGTCATAGAAATGAGATGCACAACTGCATTCACGCGCAACACTTGCATCCTGTGCGCGAACGATTGCATCCAGGCGCCAACTACTGAAAGTACTCCTGCACCGCTCTCTGCCGACCCATCCGTGCCAGGCCCACCACTATGGCCTGAAGCGGGGGGGGGACCTGCCCAGGAAGAAACGAAAGCATGGATCGGTCAGAGGGCGAGTTGAGATACGTGAGTGGTGGTGGAACACTGGCCCAGCATGATGCGCGTGGATTTGGAGCCAGATGGGGGGCCTGAAGTGGCCCAGCATTGGGCTCGGGTCAGCAGAGAGGGGAGAGAAAGGGGCCTCTTCGTCGCCACGGCTGGGCGCGTAAATCTGCCCGTTCCGATCCCGGGACGGGTCCGTGGACAGATTCCGCGGCTTTGGGAGCGTTTTTTCTTCCCCTGGGGAGCGCTCGTTACCCAGGACCCCCCGCCTCCCTCCCCCGGTGTAACGCTCACGATCGTACTAGGGGCGGTCGGCGTAGGCCCCCATCCCCTACGTGCTGTGGCGCACACAGGCGATTGATGCGCCAGTGGCGCGGACGCACCCTAACGGGTGCATGCCGCGGCCGCCGTTACCGTTACCGTCCCGCCCTCCCCCCGCTCCCACCTGGTATCAACCGCTACCCGGGAAAGAACGGAAACGGTCACGATGGGTCGGCGGACCGATTTTGAGCGGCTTTGTCCTTGTCGCTCTTGGCAGATTTTTTCTCGGAGCCCGTCCTTGCGCCGACCCCCCCAGCCGCTTCTCAGCATGGATTGGCGACGGGCCCCGTTGCCGTGCGGGGTCGGCGCGATGCGCCGCCGAAGGAGGCGGCTCTGGCCTCCGACGGTTTCGGGGGCTGCTGCCCGAAGCCCTGGATCTGGCGCCAACTTGCAATTTTCACGGGTGCCTAATACAGGTCAGTTTGCTCCCGGGGGCGTGTGTTGGATGGGGAAAGGGCGAGGACAAATCCGTCCCAGAGCGTTCCAGAGTGCTCTGAGAGCCTTCCAGAACGCTCTGAGAAGGCCGCGTCGCCCGATACGTCCTCCAGAGCCGCCAGATCTCAGAGATTCTTGATTTATCCTCACCGGATTTTATCCTCGTCCTGGCTTCGTCTTAGGTTGGCCCAGACTGGGAAGCATCGGCCGCCGATCGCCCATTCGTCTCCGACGGGGGCCCGGTTGGTTCATCCCGCCCAGGAACGTGCGGCGGCCTCGCTACCAGAGGGCCGACGCCGACCTGTCGGCGGTGTATCGCCGATTCTGGGTCGATGCTTCCCCCCTAAGGCGACAGGAGCAGAAGGAGGAGGAGCAGGCGAAGGAGGAGGGCGGAGGAAAAGGAGGAGGAGGAGGAGGAGGAGGAGGAGGAGGAGCATGTGAAGGCGGAGGAGGAGGAGGAGGAAGAGGAGGAGGAGGAGGAGGAGAGGAGGAGGAGGAGGAGGAGGAGGAGCATTTGAAGGAGGAGGAGGAGGAGGAGGAGGAGGAGGAGGAGGAGGAGGAGGAGCAGGAGGAGGCGGAGGAGGAGGAGGAGGCGGAGGGAGGAGGAGGAGGGATGAGGAGGAGGATGTGATGAGGGAGGAGGGAGGGAGGAGGGAGGAGGGAGGAGGGGAGCAGGAGGAGGAGGAGGGAGGAGGGAGGACGAGGGAGGATTAGGGAGGAAGGAGGGAGGAGGGAACAGTGAGGATGGAGAAGGGAGGAGGAGAGGGAGGAGGAGGAGGAGGAGGAGGCGGGAGGAGGAGGAGGAGGAGGAGAGGAGGAGGAGGCGGAGGAGGAGGAGGAGGAGGAGGAGGACGTTTCAGCTCATGTCGGTCTAACGTCAAAAGGAAGAGTAGAACGAGGAAGAGGAGGAGGGAGAGGAGGAGGAGGAGGAGGAGGGAGGAGGAGGGAGGAGGAGAAAGAGGAGGAGGAGGAGGCGGCGGCGGCGGTTGAGGATGAGGAGGAGGAGGAGGAGGAGGAGGAGGAGGAGGAGGAGGAGGCGGAGGCGGAGGCGGAGGCGGAGGCGGAGGCGGAGGCGGAGGCGGAGGCGGAGGAGGAGGAGGAGGAGGAGGAGGAGGAGGAGGAGGAGGAGGAGGAGGAGGAGGAGGAGGAGGAGGAGGGAGGAGGAGCGCTCAGGGCCAGTTGCGCCGCCTCGGGCCCAGTTCTGCCGGTCTTTGGGCCGATTCGAGGCCACCTTGCTCTCGATCTGGCGTTGCGAGGCGGTGAGTACGCCTACCCGCATGCGCGGCTCTTCGTCGCCTGGCGGCGCGTGTGTCTGCCCTCTCGGGTGCGGGCACGCACGGACCTCGTCTCGGCACTTCTGGGCCGAGCGCCCGCGTGTTGCCAGACGTCGGCTCGAGCTCGGGGAGAACATGCGGATCGCGCCGAGATGGTGGGGGGCCCAGCCCCGCGTCACGTCGAAGTCGGGGTGGATCACTATGGCGGCTGGGGGCTCGGTCTGGCGGCGGGTTCAGTTACAGGTGATGGCGTGCCGCTTCGGCATCGCCATCATGCAGGCCCTGGCTGGCCTGTCTGCGGCTGGCCGCGGCTGCGGGTGGGCCTTCGGGAAGCGGTCCCTTCACCGAGAGGTTTCTGGGGCCCTGCCCCCCTCCCTTCCTTGCCCCCTTCCCCCCGGCTGGCAGCGGCGTCGCGGGCGGCGGGGCGGTTGACGACGACGCTGACGACCTCCCTCCCCCTCTTCCTGGTGGTGGTGGTGGTTAGGGGTTTCGGTTGCTTCCTGGCCGCCGGCTGCCGTTCTAATTGGCTCTGGCTCGGTCCCGTGACCCGCCGGCCCTGGCCTGACGCCACCTGGCGTTTCTCCCGCCCCGCGCCGGGGCCTCTTGCTGCCCGGGGGCTTTGCCAGGTGTCAGCGGCACTTTGCGTTTCCTTAGAAGCAGCCAGGACAAAGTCGCCCTGCTGCTTTCACTTCGGAAGGACGAGGAGGGGATGGGGAGGACGGGGGAGGAGGAGGTGGAGGACTTTCGCCCCCCCTCAGGTCCAGCGCACCTTCTCGGAGGAGGCGCGCCCCCCCACAGCCGATCGGGTGCTGCAGGGCTCGCGCCGCGCTGGCGCGGTTGCGGCCCCGTCGCGGGCCCCCAAGGTCTTGGGCGCCGCGCGGGGGCCCCCAACTGTTGCGGTGACCACGCCGCGCGGTGAGTCGGTGGGGACCTGGGGTTGCCGCACGGTTTCGGGACTTGGGTCGTTCTCCGGGGGCGTCTCGGGCGATCGTTTTCCGTTTTCTTGTTTTGCTGATCGGCGCCAGCCTTCGCACCGGCCCCCCCCCCCCCCCCATGGAGTAGATCTTGGCTGTTTTTGACGCCTGTTTCAAGCAGGTGGGGTCCCTCTCCCACAGGACGACGCACTACTGCAAACAATCGCACTAAGCAGGGGTCCGGAGCCAGACCCTTCCCTTCCCCGCCTCCTTCCACCCCATGTCGAAACGCCGAATAAGAAAACGTTCGCCACGCCGCGTGGTGAGTCGGTGGGGAGTTGGGGTCACCGCATAGTTTTGAGGTCTGGGTTGCTGGGGATTCCGTGGTGTCCACGCGGCCCGTCACCAAACGGTTTTGGGGCCCGGAGCCGCCAGCGGCTCGAAACCGTCCGGCATCGAGCGATCTGCGCTATCGGAGGGCCGAGATCATTCCAAGTTGGGACGGCCGGCGCGGTGCCAGAAGCCGGCGCCGACGTCATCCCAGCGCGAGTTTTCGGTGGTCGTCTTCGGCCATTTCTGGGGATCCGCATCTCAAACTCAGAGAGATCTTTGCGAGTTGCCTGCGCACCTCCGATTCGGTAGATGCTGATGAATCCTTGGCGTCGATCCGCGCGTGAGCGTGCACGTTCTTAAAGGAGGCGCTCGCCATCTGGTCGCAGGAGGGGGAGGAGGAAGAAGAGGAGGAGGATTTGAAGGGGGAGGAGGAGTAGGAGTGGGAGGAGGAAGAGGATGAGGAGGTCTCCAGGCTAAGACCGCAACGGTATCCGATCCATGTCTGTGCAACGGTAAAAAAGAGGTTCCCGGCTCTCCGAAGTGTTTGTATTCGCGTGATGATACCCGGTCTCCCGACCTCTCGTCCCCTTGCTGGGGACTGCCTTGTTCGCTCGGTGTCGTGCTCTGGCGGACCTTGCTCCGCGATCCGCCAACCCCCTTTTCTTCATTATTCAGTCATGGCACACCCCCCCCTGCGGCGCGTCTTGACCATCATTCCGAGGGAGTGCAGCTGCGGCAACGGGACGCCGTGCGGAGGCCCAGAAAGAGCGAACGAAGTCCAAAACCTCGATGCTCGCTCTGCGTACCGCAGCCCAAAGACGCTGCATGTCTAGGCCTGCTCCACCGATCCTCGATCCCCTCGCGTCTCCTCGCCCCGACTCGATCCTCGATTTTCTCCCCATCCTCGATCCTCGAACTTCCTCGATCCTCGAACCTCCTCGATCCTCAACCCCCCCTCGATCCTCGAACCTGGATCCCCTCGCCTCCGCCTCCGCCGCCCCCCCCCCCCCCGGCCCTCAGCTCTCGCCGCCCCTCCCCGAAGAGAGCCTTTCGCCGCGCATCGTTCTGCGTGCCTCGCCGCCCCCCCTCCCCCCCCCGTCGCATCGGGAGGCCCCCATCGTGACAAGCACGTTGGTGCTCTTTTCGCTCGGCGGCGAGCGAGGGGGGTAGCGAGAAGGGGCGGGCCTTCTCACAAGGCTCGGACGCCCCCCAGCCTCCTGAGAGGTTTCCCGAGCCTCCTCCCTGAAGACACACAGAGCTTCTCAGAAGGCCCGAGGGCTTCTGAGAAGCCCCGCCGCCTTCTGAGGAGGCCTTCTCCTTCTCACTTCCCCCCTCGCTCGCCGCCGGTCACGACGCGGGCGCCAGGACTCCCGATCCCCATCCCTGCGACCTTTTCATCTTCGCGGGTCTTGTCCTGCTGGTACAGTGGGACCGAGGTATTAGATCGAGGTCGGTTCGGGGGGGCAACCCTACTGTTCTTCGTTTTGTTGGATGTCTTTGTGCATCCCGGGGGGAGGGTGCCCTCGAATGTTCTTCAGTTTGGCTGGCGGAGGGTCTCATGTTCTTGAAGAATGTTCTCCTGTCCTAGGTCCACCAAGACGGCGATCCAATGCCGCCCGATGCCTGAGTGTTGTTGTCGTGTATCCTGGTGCGGTCGATTCGAGTCGGGTTCGATTCCGTGCCGATGCAGCCCAGTTCGGTGCGCGTGTCGTTCTGACACGATGTGCCAAGTCGATGTTGTTTGATGCTGCCAGTAGCGGCGCCTCACCACTCACCAAACCACCCCAAGCCAACCCGCCCTCCATTTCCAGTGGGGGGGTATCGGGGAACATTGAATTATCCTGGCGAAGGGCCCAATCATGTGCAGCTGTGTGTAACGCAGTTGTGGGTATCGTCCTCGGTGAACCTTTCTCTGGGGCCACGACGCGTGTGACGAGTGTGCCAAAATTGGCACCGGTATGCCATGCGGACGCTGCCACCGGAGCCGTCGGTGCAGCCCCATGTGAGGCCACGAAACGTATGAGGGGTGCGCCCAGGGTGAAACCACGTGCGGGCGTTGCCACTAGGGCCGTTGGGGGCCACATAACGTGGAAGGGGTGTTCCGAACTGAATGGTGGAACTGCATGCGGAACCTGCCGCTGGGGCCCTGGGTGGAACACTCTATGGGGCCACGACACGTGTGAGGGATGCGGTGAAGTGGAGGTGAAACTGCATGCGGACCCTGTCACTGGGGCCTTCGGCGGAGCACCCTATGGGGCCGCAGAACGTGCGAGGGGTGCGTCGAAATGGGGGGTTGGAACTGCATGCGGGCCCTGCCACTGGGGCCCTGGGTGGAACACTCTATGGGGCCACGAAACGCGTGCGGGGTGCGCCGAAATGGGGGTGGAACTGCCACTGGGGCCTTCGGCTGAGCACCCTATGGGGCCACGAAACGTGTGACGGGGGCGCCGAAATGGGGGTGGAACTGCATGCGGACCCTGCCACTGGGGCCTTTGGTGGAGCACCCTATGGAGCCACAAAACGTGCGAGAGGTGGAATTGAATGCGGACCCTGCCACTGGGCCTTGGACTGAGCACCCTATGGGGCCACGAAACGGGTGAGGGGTGCGCCGAAATGGAGGTGGAACTGCATGCGGAACCTGCCACTGGGGCCCTGGGTGGAGCACCCAATGGGGCCACGAAACGCGTGAGGGGTGCGCCGAAATGGAGGTGGAACTGCATGCGGACCCTGCCACTGGGGCCTTAGGTGGAGCACCCCAAGGGGCCTCGAAACGCTGTACTAGGTGGGTAAAACGCAGGGAGGGAGGAGTGGGATGAGGAGGACGGAGG